CTTCATGGTTGAATCGTGAACTGCTATGGTCATTAGTCCCGTTAGAGCACTGAATGTTTAATCCCGGGGGGTTTCGGTGCTACTCCCTCATTGGATAGTGAGATCCAGCGCCAACGTATTCGTCGGCTGGGGGGGGGGGGCATTTTGCCTCCCCCAGCGCGGCACCGCCCATCTGGGCGAATCTCTAAGCTTCCGACTGGAGGTGTAGAGCATGCAAGTGTATGTGTGAGTGTAAGGGGGCAGAGGATAAGAAGAATGAGGGAGAATAGAGCGAGCGCGGTTCGGGGCTCATTAGGGTATTGCTATGGTATTCGCATGGTATGTGCTCATACTAAAGACCTTTCGTGTTACGACATTAACGTATTAAAATTATTGAATGACTATTTCAAACATATGTGCATTTGAAAAAGGTAATATTTCTCCCATTCAACTAGCATTCTATCTAGGAAACACGTTAAAAGATAAAATTCTCGCTCGGTGGAATAAATGAATATTTAATTTCTATTTCATGTATTTAAGGAAATGGGACATCTTCGCAGCAAAATATTGTGAATCTTTCAAACAAATCTAGAAATTGTTAGTGCCTGTTTGAAGAGATGTTTGCGTATATTACACGGGGAATTTGATACACTACATTGAAAATATTGGAGATGAATTATTATTATTATAATCAAATTGAATTGTTGAATAGATTTTATATCAAACAACTATTAAGTAAGTCCGAGTAATCCGATGGATTATCTGATGAATTATACGGTATTTTTTATCCAAACATTTATTTCTTCTACAGTCATCTCTATATCTCTATTTAAAACGTTCGTTGTAATTTTGTTTTCAATAATTTACATTTTAAAATGGTGTCTTGTACGTCATACATATATCTAAAAATTTTCAGTCGCAGACAAGGGCTTCCAGTGGCCATCTCATCTCATGCATTTTTATTTTCGCATTACTTGACTGGCATTGTAGTCGCGGGTCGTTACGTAGTAATCCCGCCCATCTGTCTAATACGGGCGAATTTGGGAGTTAGGCAAGTTGCATCGTAGCATTTATGATAAACATTTCATTACAAGCAGGATTTTCACCGAAAAATAACATCTCTTAATTTAGGTTTGTATGGAGTTGTGGGAAATCTGCTGCTTTTCATATTAAAAATGTAAGCTTCAATGTTACCCTAAAACGTGGAATTTTCGTAATCCATCAAAGGGATAATCTTACACTTTTGAAGTATAAAATTAATGAAGTTTTCTTGTGCTTCCTTGAATATAAATTGCTTTTAATATAACACAAATGCTTGTCAAATAAAATCCAACGATGAAATACTTTATTATGTGCAGTGAGATCAAATGGCAAAAGAAAGCCTGCAAAGAAGACTAAAATTAAATTTGTTAAACTTGTTGATAGTTCGCTATTTACATGCAGATGAATAACAGAAATATTATTATTTGAATACTAAACCAAGAATATTACAGACATCTTTGTACTAACTTCATTCTTTTAAAGCCAACATATTATCACCAATTCAACATTTGTACATCGTCTCACTGTTTGCAGTGTGTGAAATACTAAGAACAGTCAGAAAGTAATGCCTTCAATTGTTTGTACTGAAATAAAATCGGTTAAGTAAAAAAACTGACTTTGGAACCATTCCTCTAACCATCTCTTACAATCCACCGCAGTAGTTACTTTCTGCGCTAACATGTGGCACGGCAGTATTGAAAAATGGCCGACATCGATGTTTGTAAGAGACCGCATTGTGTGATTGCATTCTTGAATGCAGAAGGTGAAACGACCATTCGCATTCAGAAAAAAACTGAAAATGTATATGCACTATTAGTCGATAGGTCGCTCTTTGCAACGAGGCCGAACCGTTGGCTGACGATAGGCGGAGAGACTGCTGTCATTCCACCCAACAATCAGTAAGTCGATGACTTAACTCGCGGTGACCGTTGGGTGATTGCAGACAAAGTGAGGAAGAAAATGAGACACATTTCATCTGTCAAATTTCACTTTCATTGTTAAATACAAACATCGATGTCAGTCATTTTTTCAAGCGACTGCCCCAAAAATTACTACTCCAGTGGATTGTAGAAGAAGATTGAGGAATAATGCCAAATTTAAATTGTTCACGTAACTAATTTTTTTATGTAGAAAAAGGAAAAGGTATTACTTTCTGACTGTCACCTGGATATCCAATCTACATATGTAACTACGGAGTCATTTCGTAATACCCATTACTTATTCCACGAATTTTTCTGTGCATTCTTACCGACTGTAATAGTAGTTGAAGGTACCATTTTATTGAACGAAGAGACATTGTAACATTTAGGTTAAATAAATGAAGCGTCCTTTTCGTTTCGTTTCCACCCATATCGGCCAAAAATGAGAAAAATTCTAAGAATTTAAAACTGGAACTGAAATATACAAAGTATACTTAGTGAAATTGTGTGTTATACATATTGGATTTATTTTGAATTTATTGTAGTGGAAAAAATTAAATTTATTGTGGTTGAAATAAATCGTCATTGGATTTTTTTAGGAAAAAGTTCAAACCCTAGCACTTACGTTGACACAGAATATTGCGGTTGCTTGTGGCAAAATAAAATACTGCTAACAACCTTCAAATTTTTGCTCAGCGTATAGTATTTGTTCTCCTCTATGGTTCAAAACGAAATTTAAACACTCATGCTCTGTTGGTTCTAAATCTCTCAGCAAACTTATTTCTCACGCTATTTTACTTACACTAATTATAAATCCAGTTGTTCAAAGAAAGAGATACTCTGCTGCTGCGGAAAATATAGTTTTTACCATGCTATGAGATCAGTCTAAACCCGTATGAGAGCTTGGTTTCCATCGGTTTCTAAATAAATAGTGAAAAGAGCGGGTAAACCATTTACTGAGTCGTCTGTAAGTTGTCGTTCTTCAAGAGTAATGTTAAAGCAAACATTGCATCTCTTTTCACAAGACTCTGCCAAAATGTGACCCAAACCATTAGTTCAATGTGTCGACTTAGTAAAAACATATTTTTTCAAATGTTGAAAACTGTTTATTCTCGTGAAGAATTAAGTACGTTTAAATATTTAGTTCTTATAAAGATATTTTCTAAACACTTGCGAGATGTATCTTAATTTTAATTTATTTAATTTAATATTTTGTAATATTTTCTCAAACAGCATAATGAATTATTAAAAATATACTACCAAAAATTGTTCTATATATTTTTATATTGAATATTATACACGTACGTTATCTTAAGACCCTAAATGCTTACTCCTAGCTCATTGCCAATATTAGTAGAACAAATAACAAAAAATATATTAAATATATGTGTTTGTCAGGTTTTTATTGCATGTAATGGAAACTAGTTTGTATGAAGTACTCGTATTGAGCTACAGATTTGATGTTATTGTCAAAATAACCAAACTTCCAGTCTTCTCGCATGTAGGGAAGCGATGGCTCATGAAAACGTGCGCGTATAATATGAGAATTAATGTAAATTGCTTTTTTAATGTAATAGTACTTAATTGTTCCTTACTGTTCTATTCCTCAGTTAATGATTGCATAGCATTTATAAAATATACACAACCTAATTTTAAATGTTTGAATTTTGAATAAATGTTTCATTCAAATTCAAATTTTGAATTTTTAAATTTTATGTTATTGTGGTACCTCAAAATATTCCTGTTGAGCAATGAAATTTTGTTTTATTCGGATATAAAAGTTAACGTTTAGCTGTTATTACCAGCCTTAAATTGAAAAAAAATGTACTCCACTTTATTACACAAAGTGTTAAGAGGAAGTAATTTACTTCATATTGGAAAAAGATATACCCACTTTCGCTGTATAAGAGCTCTATTATAAGTTTTCTCACAGGTAATTCCCTTTTTTCTCGAAGCATTACAATATTTTGTCTACATTGCATAGGTTGTATGCGGGACAGTAAAAATCATTCACCACTCAATCATTCCGTCTGTCAATGCCTATTTTATTTATTAATTTTATGATACATTCACTCATTAACTGACTGAATCATCCATAATGTTTGACATTCTTACTTTGCAAGAAACTAAATATTTGTCTTGGGTAGTTCCTTTAAAGAGGTCGAGAACGACGTCCTTCGCAGCTTCCTGCGCGCTATCGCGAGGAGATTCCCGAGGGCTAATCCCGCGGGTGTTACATTCATCAGCGGCAAATCGGGCGCTTGTTCCGGGCGGGCGCCGGCGCCCTTCGCCTCTCCATCCGCGCCGCGCGCCCGGCGTCACGCGCCGCGCTTTGATCCGACGCGCGCCGGCAGCCGCACGCGGCGCCAACGCTGCCGCCGCGCCACACGACAGAGAGAAAGAGGGAGAGAGAGGGAGGGAGAGAGAGGGAGGGAGAGAGAGGGAGGGAGAGAGAGGGAGAGAGACAGAGAGTCAAAAACAGTCATACAGACAGGGAGAGAGACAGAGAGTAACAGCGAAACAGAGAGAAAGAGAGGGAGACAGAGCGAGTCAGAGAGGAAGACATATAGAGATAGAGAGCGAGACAAAGACACAGAGAGCGAGTCAGAGACACATAGAGCGAGACAGAGCCCTGGACTAGAGACCTGGAGAGCGAGACAGAGTCAGGCTGACAGAGAGGCAGAGACCGAGACAGAGAGAGAGAGAGAGAGACAGAGAGATAGTGAGAGCCAGAAAGAGATACAAAGATACAGAGATAGATGGAAACAGGCAGAGGGAGAGTGATAGAGAGAGGGAGAAAGCGCTTGAGCTCAACTCAGAACAAGCTTAAACAGTGTCTCTGCAGCGACTCTGACATTAATATTCTAGGATTTGAGTCCCGCCCATGGTAGATTTTCGACGCTAGCTACACAGCGGGTCAAATTTGACTGTCGTCTAGAGGAGAATTCTGGCGGCCGAGGCGATTGCTGGGACAACTGCTGCCTTGACAAGCGAGTCACCCACCGCGCGCGGTCTTACCTTCCTCTTTTCACACCTTACACACACACATGTAGAGCACATATCGATAAACATGACTGTGTAATTGTGTGTGTGTGTGTGTGTATGCGCTTGTGAGGGGAGATGATGGAACAAGTCTATGAAAGGATATATAACGCGCGGTCTGTGTCCTGTTGTTCGGGGGAGGGGGAGGTACAATTTGGCATTTGCTTGGAACTGATGGGAGAAATCTCGGAGAAATACATATCAGAGCAGTCGAAATCTAAAATTCTATTCTTGGCAATGTTTGAAATTCATCTAGCTATGTAGCTAATAATGAAAATCCTTCAATAAGAATGAAATAAATCGTGGTTCAGAAAGTTGTAATCGAAAATGTAATTTCATTATGCATTTTTAGAAATTTCGCAAAATATAGTTTTTATTGTTTATGATAATATTCTTCTGAAGCTGGTTGATTACCTTGTTGTAACCTTGTTATGATACATAATTTGCGAAAAGTACAATAGTGTTTATAATTACATAGGTGTTCTTCATATTTTATGGGTATTTTATATACATTCATGTATTTTTCAAAATTGGCCCTGATTTTTTTACTGTTATTGCAGTTTGGCAACTGCACACATTGTCGCGTTACAGAGAAGGTGGATTATATGAGGGAGCCACAGGTGGTGTCTCTTAGGAGCTGAAAAGTTAATATCTGAAAATGTAACCAACAGAAAATATGTAATATTTATTGAAGTTATTTACATTCAGGCGAAAGTTAGAGTACTATTTGCACACTTCTTCTTGTGCTCAAATATTGTTAGACGCGTCAGATGTGGGGGAGGGTACCAATGAATCAAATCTGTGGCTCGTTTGCCGATGCACTTTGTGTCCGTTAGAGTCCGAAATTTCTCACGATCAGATATTGTTAAGAAACATCGTTGCTGTATTTTATTAATAATTCACTTATGTATTAAAAAGGGGGATGAGATTTCGTAGCTCACCAAACATGCGCAAATAGTATATTTGCTGATTATCACAATATTAAAATTTCATCATTAAAGAGTTCAATTCGTAGGTGCACGAAGTTCTACAAAACGTTCGACAAAAAGGATTGTTTTCGTATTAATTTAAAAATGTAATATTCTAATGTTCTTCAATACTACAATTTTGCTTTTACATTACAATGGGTGTTTACTGCAACTTTGAGAACGGACATGCTCAAAATGATTGGTTTGTGATAAACAATACGTAATTCGAAACTTTAAATAATATAAAATACATATTAAAAAATGTTGACACTCTTCCTAGAAATTTATTGATTTTTATTATGTAAAAATAATTTTTCGTATTGCATTGACAATATTACTGCACTTTTATTAACCTATTGATCAACGTATTCTATTTTCTCATGGGTTGTTAACATATTCCGAGGACACTTTGAAAGTACAACAGTGGACTATGCAAAAATATTTCTCAAAAGGTCATAAAATCAATAATTAAGAATAGATATTTAAATTAAGATTATTTATGTCTATTCATTAACATTTGCAGGTACTGACAGTTTAAAAAATACACATATCAGTGAATCACAACTAAATGTTTCGATTTTCATTTTTGTGTATTTGCTTTTTAAACAAAAAGCCAGCTTCCAACTATCATTAACAACTCATCAACACTTACTTTCCTTAGACTTCAATGCAATGGCTTTCACGTGAGAGTTACCTCAATTAATAATAAATGAACTATGAACGGCATAATGAACGTGAATATTACTGCATTGATATGATTAGCAACCCATTGTTATATTGCTGCAATGATGTGAAGTGAAAACTTCATTATTCTTTTGGTGTCTCACCCTGATATGTTCTCCAGTATTCTTTCCCATGAACCTGTAAACCTATGATAGGTTTGTGGCAGATCTTGACTATTAGAGACGTAGATAGCCTGCCGTCTTTAGAATTCTTATGTAGTCTCCATTCTAGAGAACGATGACACGATATTCTCTCACAACAACTAAATGAAATGGAAGAGAATTATTTAGATAATTCAAAATTCCTCCATGTCATCGACCAAGACACGTAATTTTCGTTTGAAAATCGCGTGACTCATTCTGTATGAATCATTAGGTTAGGCACCGCAGCGCCTCTGAAAAGTCTCTATGGCGACACCTTCGCCAATCGTTTCTTCTCGGATATTTCGATCACCACATACAGGCCAACACCCGCCGCCAGGAAGACCAGAAGCACGTAAATTTTAGCGTAGGTGATAATGTACGCACTGTACGCGTACGCAACGATGTAGCCCAGACTCTCCCACAGACGGAAGTTGCTGAACGCTGCTTCTTCCTCGCCAGGGAATAAGATTCCGCACATAGCTGTGACAAAAACAAATATGATTAGAAAAGGCAACATGTCTTAAATCACACACGTCATGCAAGTAAAAAAAGCTTGTCCTGAAATATTTTCTTCTCTTTAACCGCTCAAAATGATATTGTAATTATAAATATACATCTTGAACACAATTAATTGTTTTAAAATATATTAAAACCTAGGAATAGTTTTAATAATGAATTCAAGGCGTTCAAAGAGACGACACATTATAAACGTTCACTACCTACAAATTCGAGGATAACTCGTATATTTAATTACGTTTCTATAATTGTGTAAATAAAAAACCCAAGAGCAATATTTTCTATTATATTGAAATTATTACATAATACTCAAGTAAAGGAAGATGAGATAATATGGACTCTCTAGTTAGTATATACCCATTTTGTTTTCCTTATGCTACAACACAGCATTCATAACGTGAATTACACTTGAAAAATCACGAAACATGTTATAAGAGTCGGTTAATATCCTTGCCATGATATGAAACCGAGACATATTTTGTGCTTCAATTTTTCTTAAACGTTTCCCAAGGATAATTTGTTATTATTTTCATATTAATGTTAATATGGATGTTTATTCATGTTAATATTAATTTCCTATTAATTAAATATGCACTTTTCTATATTAAATACTTATGATTCTCGTTATATAATTCCGTGCTTAAGGCTCAAGTTAGTTTTGTGGTTAATTTATTTTTTTCAGACAGCATAGTTTGTAATCTGAACCTCATTAGCGAACCTCATAATCATAGAGACACGTGGCCATAATTCCTTCATAACTAGTTCTGCAAACAAATCTTTCCTCAAGGAATATGCAGAAGGGTCCGAACAGGCATAAAGAGGGTGAAAGGAGGTCAAGAAGGAAGAAGACACAAGAAAAAAGGCACTAGAGCTCCGCATAACTAGCATTTCACCTGCACTCACTAACAACGGATCAGTGTGCGAGTCATGTGCCACCTTTTTGAAACTAAAAGTGACTTTGTGGACGTTCCCTGTTCTACCGACAAGTCAAGATCCCAAGAAGCAAGATAACGCCGTGAACAAGTTTTGTGGAAGATCACTCAATTACGGCTCTAGAGGGGAAGAAAGGATTAAGTGTATAATGTGGGAAATGAGGCCGAACAATGTGTGCTGATGCAGAGCAGTTTGCTATTTTTTCGATAGACATCGGCTTCTCTTTTTTATGAAAATTTAAAGACAGTTTTGTATTCTATTTTTCCTCTTAAATGCACATTTTAATTAATTATTTATGATTCTTATTGTTCTAAACCTAAATAATTCGGTTTTTTAAATTAATGTTATTGAAATTAATTGACACTACTATCAACATATTAATTACATTTGCATTAAATATTATATTAATATTATTGATATAATTGTAAAATAAATTATGTCGGTACAATGATTGTATGAAAAAAATTGTACGTTATTGGCTAAATGCAAAACGGGATCGAAATTACCACCTCATCTTCTGTGACATATCAAACTTAGAAATATTACACACTACATATTTTAGTTGGAGATACAACAGCATACTATTTTATTATTTGTGTCTCAAATATAGTGTGTGAGAGAGAAAGTTATTTGTATTTTCTCTTGTGTTTACTCTATTATTTGTGTTGACACTTGGGAAAAGTGAAAACAAAATTATCGTGAAGGGTAATTAGGAAAGGTTTACATGTAATGTTATCTCGCATGGTTATCTTACATGCTATAATTTAAAAACAGATGGAAAGAGAAAGACTATACTTTTTTATAGTACACGTACAGATGTAAACAACGTATGTAAATATGTTTTTAATATAACGCAAATAGCCGAGAAGGTTAAATAAATCAAAACTTTCTATCAAAAACGTTCTCCTTGCAAATGGAAACTATATAGACTGCGAAATATTTCTTAGATGATTGGGAGAGCATTAGCAGAAACTGCGACAAAAAGTTTTATGCATCACCTTCTGTGTTCTCATCAGACGAGAGAGTTCTGTAAAAATCGCGACACATAATTGACAAAGATTATTATTTTGCCGTAAGAATCAACGAGTATTGAAGAAATTGTTATGGTTACCTCTGTCTGGACGAAAATAAACGTTGTCCTAACGAGTTTCACGTCATTCACGATTTCTGGTTTTTCCCTTCCACGTTTCAGAGCGCTGTTTCAAACTACACGATGCTTGCTGCCAACGTACCACCAATTTGCAATGCGCTCAATACGCGTATTGCTTAGCTTCTCGGCACGATCGCTACATAAATGGTCGCGGCTCCTCTGGTTTTCAAATAATTCGAGCTCGTTGCATCTGATGTGAAAAAAATTCGATTCCGAGAAATCTGACAACGGGTAAATCTTTTGTCGCGGCCGCCCAGGCGGTATTGCAACATATTAGTGATTTTTCGAAGCTGTTGAAAGACGATTTCAAAGAGCTTTGTACAAAAATGATTTTTTTTGACAATAGGGAAAGAATTCCTGTTTGTTTTTTTGGCTGAAATCAGACCATCTCAAAAGCGGGAAGTTTGAAATGTATGATATTTTTTCCTTAAATGCCTTCAGAGAATAGCGAAAATGAGGTGTTCGAAGCGTGGCGCCAAATTTGAATTAATTTGGCGGCCCGTATACCAACACATACTGACCGTTGACCTGCACCAGCCAGACGCCGTCGCAAGCGCCCTACAGGCCGGAGATGACGAAGTAGGTGACGCGGTCGTCGGAGTGCGGCCGCCACAGGAGCAGCGTCACCAGGAGCCCCGCGTGCAGGATGGTGGCGCCCACCACCACGGGCATCCGCCCCGTCAGCTTCACCAGCCAGCCGGCGCCCACCGCCGACACCGAGTTCACCACGCCGTAGCAGATCATCACGTAGCCGATGTTGGAGATGCCCCACGCGCACGACACGAACGCCTGCGCACAAGCATCGCCGAGGCACTGCGTGATCATCCGTGTCGTAGAGCACGCGAGGAAAACATCAGCATCATATTCTACATGTTGCATACAACACTTTTGTCTCAACACATTTTGAAAAAAAACAACAACTTCTCTTTACGAAGATGCAGACCATCTGAGGTGGCTCTGTGTATAAAATGATATCACTGCAGTACCTGAGACCGGAAAGCGCGTAAGTTGTTAAGATAATTAGTTCCGTAAATGTAGTACATGTTTTTATTGCGGGAGATGGTGGTGATCTTCCCCACTGGATAGCGATACCCGGCTCAGACGTACACTTTGGCTAGCGGGGTCTTCCCCTAACCAGGTATTTCCCCCCAGCGAGGAACCGCCCCAGCCCAGACAAGCTCAAAACTGTCGACTGGTCTCCCGGCAAACGTGGTAGTGTCGTGCATGTAAGTGTAAGCCTGAATGTAAGTAAGGGTTGAGGTAGAACAAAGTAGAGGAAGGAAAGATCGCGCGCGCTCCGAGACCCATTTCTTAGGGTACTGCTCCAGCATCTAGCCGTGTTGATAGAAAAGAACAACAGAAAACAATCTGAACATATGGTCGGCAGATAGTGGCAGAATTCGACCTAGCTATATAGCCATTGTCAAAAATCTTACCACTGTTGGGACGAGACCCCTAGGACTTCGTGGTTAGAGATACAGATCTGATATCAGTTGTTGCTTTAAGCTACCTCAGATGGTGGTTTTGTTGGATACTTTTACCAGTTGCGGCCATACATACTCGGAATCGCACGGACGCGCAGAATGGAACAGCGTTCCGTTTTATCACGGAATATGAAACACTGCTCTCCCGACATGCGAGGTAGTGTAGTTCATCATGTAAAATGTGTGTGTGTTAGTAAGAGGTGAGGTCAGGACGAAGAGGGAGGTAGCAAAACTCTCGCGTATCCTGCGCGTGTGACTCCTCCCCACAGCGCCCCACTCACCGCTGTGAAGTCGGCGCCGATGAAGGCCTGCTCGATGCCCAGGAAGATGGTGAGCGGCAGCAGCAGCAGCTGGTTCTTCTTGCGCAGGAGCCGCAGGGTGACGGCCAGCAGACGCACGCCGCTCAGCCCCGAGCCAGAGCCCTCGCGATCGTCCTCGTTGTACCTGCGGGAGCAGCGATTCACTTCAACAACATTAGCACTGCAAGAAATAACGCAACGTATGTTTAAATCAAATGATAATTACTTAAAAATACGGACTTTTAAGCCATCTTCGCCTACGGTTGTTTTATAAGGCGGATTCTGGATATACATTCACGTTTTTATTTGCTAACTTATATTTTTGTTCATTTATTCATCAATTGTATTTTTATTTATTTAACCAACAAAGAAGTAAAATATTTATGACTTAAACGGATGAGTCTCAATCTGTATGTTTTGAAGACCTAGCAATAGCTTTCGTTCAATAGCAACTGTATTGCGAGATACATATTTGACCTGACGAAATAAATGAATTCCCCACTCGTCTTGTATGTGGAGAAAAGAGTTTAAAAAAAAGTGCAGTTAGTGAACCTACATTTACTGATCAAAAGCCAAGTAAGGGACCATCTCAGCTTTTCTAAATGTTTAAAGGGCAGCTGAACAAAAAAGAACTATTTACGGAGTTATTCCTATTGTTGGAGATAAATCATAAGAGAATCGCATGTTTCCGTCTACATTGAGATATTGATTGGTTGAGATAAAATTGATAAAAGATTGAGATATTTTCCGTAATGCGATCTCCTCTATATTGAAACTTCAAGTTATTTTATGTTCACTTTCTCCTAAATGTAAGAATTTTTATGTCATTTTGAGTTGTATCCTTAAAAACTTCATTTTTACCTTCTCTTCATACTTTGTAAGACGAGAAAGTATTGAATTGTATGTCGTAAAACCGCGAGTTTTTGACACAACGCTCTTATTATTGGTATCGATAACGAAAAAGGGGATAAATATTGTTCTTATTTATAGTAAATTCCGTGTGCTAACATGTTGTGTAGTAAGAATCCATGTTTAGTGTGACATTGATAACCAAAAATTAATTGACAGGAAAACGTCTGTTTCTGTGTGTGTCCGTTTCTCTGTGGTCAACACTCGTACCTCTAGCCGCTGCGAGTATGAAATGGATATTTTCATTTTTTGAGGTAATTTAGATGAAGCCTCAACATTATTAAAATTTTCTCAAAAATGAATACAAATTGTTCTCGGGTAGCGAAAAAGTCGCCTAAAAGAGAGTCTCAGGTCTCGCTTTCTTTGAACTCTCTTAATTTTCGAAAATTGAAAAAGTTAGATATAATTTGAGAAAGTATGCGCTGTTGCAGCAGCACCAGTCACCGTAATGCCCTACTTTTGTATCAGGAAGCTCGAAATTTCATTCTTAAGGCAGTCATGTATTTCGTAGCATTAGGTCTTTAAATAATTTCATATACGTTCACGTACGTTCTTGCATGGAAGCGCCCAACCTTTCGAATTCGGCCCCAGGGGGTCAGCGTACCTGCTGAGGGAGTCCACGCCGAGGGCGACGATGAGCACGGCAAGCACCATGCAGCCGAGGTAGATGCCGGCCACGGTGTTGATCTCGGCGGCGGACGGCGGCGACGCGTTGGTGGCGTTTGGCGCCGTGGCGTCGGGCGCGTAGTAGTTGGCGCCGCACACGTCGCCCAGGTCGCCCGTCAGCTTGTTGTCCGCCTCCTCGCCGGTCGAGAACACTGCCACATGAGCGAGCGCTTGGTTATTGATTTGAAGCTGTCACCTCTTTTACGTCTTTGCCATACTACGTACTTTCGCAAAAAAAAAACCGTATCAGATGGCTCAGGGCATCAACTGGTGTCATTGTAGTGCCTATGACCAGGAGGACCTAGGTTCGAGTTCCGACGGTGGAAGGGTTTTCGACACTAACTAGATAGCTAAGTTGAACTCAGCTGTTGTCTGAATGATAATTCTAGAAGCCGGTTGCTCGGATCGGAAGTTTTCCGTGATTTATGCGATCAACAACAGGCGAGTGCTGAAGCAGTAATCGAACAAACGGGTAACGGAACGCTCGCGACCTTTCCTTCCTCTTTCATGTCCTACCATCACTCCTTACTCACATTTATTTACATCCATGCGCTAGACTCTCACATATGTCGGGAGCTTACAGCTTGTTCGGGCTAGGGAGATACCTGGATGGGAAAAACTCTGCAAGTAGATGTGTAGGTCGGCGCCAGTGGAAAAACACCACCACATTCCGTAAAAACATTCTCTACACTTACGGAACGAATGACCATAGTAATTGACGCGACTGAAAGCACGAAGCAATTGATCATTTCATCAATCTTAGTGAGTAAATATAGTATTATTGAGGAAGAAGTCACATCATCTGTAAAACTCATATAGTTTGGCTTTGGTATCAAATAAGGGAATAAATATTGTTTCTCGTTGTAACAATTTAATTAGTTGAAATATAGTCTAATAAGAATAATTAATACAAATATTTAACCTCCCAAAAGTACAATATTTGTGATAGAGATTTATTTCATAAAAAAGTTATAAAAATTAGAGCTTTAAATACGTCCATGAACAATTTGTTTGGTTGGTTTTGCATTGAATTACATGTCATGTCTGATCGAAGTTAACGCACTTCATTTAAAATTCTCGGAAACGGCTTCACATTTTGTGTTATTATTGTTTCTTTATGTGCAGTAGAGGATGCCTACATATGGAGCACGTCTCAATTTTGTTGAACTTTCAGAATTTGCAAACATTGCCACATTGAGAAATAATATGAAAAAGTATTGTATGTACTGTTTTAGGACAATCACCTTAACTTTGGCGTTTGTTTAGGAATTTTTGATTGAAATGTTAGTGGGTGCTATGTTGCAATATATTATTACTTTTCAACATTTATGGGATGTACGTTGAAATGTTAGTATAATAAAAAATATAAAAAATCATTCTTATTTTGCGCTGTATAACAAGACGTGGCGGATCGAACTTTTCCTGTGGCTCTTAATTTGCCAATCCAATCTCCAATCGCTGATTAGAATATAGGACATTATGGTTCGTAAATTACTGTTCAGGATGTGTAATGATTTATCTTTAACTAGAACTGCGATGACGAACTAGAAACATTTTTGCTTTGAGCGAAATTTGAACCCTAGCGTATGACTCTGGGCGGTTGAGCTATTGCAATCAGGTCTATCTAGTCGTTCAGGGACCGGGGGAACAATTTTATGCAATATTGACAATTGCCCGCGCGACAAGCAAATAATGTTAACAGGGATTGCTGTTGACTGTCACAGATGACTGATTTAAGGTTGCGAGCAGTTTTGTGAGTAATTCGGCGAGTATTGACAAACTTAACGAACAATTTATTTGTGCTATTCGTATTAATTTATGTGAACATTGAAAAAAATATGATCATTGAACTTTATTCAAAATAAGAAATAATTTGAAGATGTAACGATATAATTTCTTTAGGTTTATTGGAGCACTGATATTACCTCGAATTTTAACATTTTTCATACTTACATATAGCTTTAGTTAAGAGGTTTAAAACAAAGGGAGCGTCGCTCTTATATTTAAGGTATTAATAATTTGTATTTAATTAAACTATAATTGTATTATGCGAACTTCCTTTCGATACATTATTATTAATTTTCTAAAATACTGTACTTTCATATATTGAGGAAATCAATTCATCACCAGCATGGAAATAAATACATGTTTTCATTGCTGGGTTGTATTTCCTGCTTGCGTTTAGAAATATTTGATTTGTATAAACATAAGGTAATATAATGATCGGTTAGCAGAATTGTCTCGTGGTAAATAGCAAGAATTTAATGGTGAAGTGCTGAAAAGTGCAGCATTTAATTGTTTTGCCCTCCTGCTTTGCACCGTTCTGATGCCTTTGCACTGAAGTAAGTTTTCTTATTCGAGGGTTGTAATACCGACAAGAACATAAACATGTCACATCTTCAATGAATTGACTGATTTTATAAATTATCAAAACATGCAAAAGACATTGACAAGGTGCAGTTTACTGAACAAAATTATGTTAGTCAATTTAGTTACATCTTAATTCACGAGAAGGTAAAAGAAAAACTCGTAGTTCTTCAGGTCTATTTTATCTTACACTAACGCAATAAAGTCAATATCATCATATGTGAGAAAACTATCCTAACAACGCATAGAATAGTACCACTCTAACGGATCCATGTGATGAGCATTTCTTTTTGCACAAGGTTTTGCACTGCTGTCATTTTGCATGCAATCAGAAGGAAATGGTTCGATTCCAGGATTATGTGTCACTCACAGATGTCTAATTTCTAAAGTAGGTACCAAATGTTTCTCGCGTATTGTATTGTATGTATTGAAGTGGAAAAGAAAGAATATTTCGAAGCAATATTGAAGATAGAAGCTTGATTATGGAGAAGTCAGCGCGTCGCGTCGTCGTTAGTGCGCCCGCTCAGCCGACGCACCCACGTTGACTAATTGTTTCCAGGGGCGTCATCTGCTGCTGTTATTAGTCCCGTTAGTGTAGCGTCTATTACATTCGGGAGATGGAGGTGTTTCTCCCCACAAGAAAGTGAGGACTGACGCCAACCTACATGAGGGGGTTTTACCACCTCACGCAAAAACGCGAGCGGGGGACCTGTTCGGGCCCTCCCGGGACAGGCTCTGAGATCTCGAGTGGTCTCCCGACATGGGTGGTATTGTACTCGTAATGCATGCAAGTGCGTGTGTGAGGCAAGAGGAAGGGAAGAAGATGACGAAGGAAAATCGCGCACGGTCAAAGCTCCGCTTGTTAAGGTAGCGCTCCTGTATTCGCCAGGTACTGATCGGATTGATCAATTGATTAAAATTTCCGGCCATTTCAACTACTAAGGTCATTATTGCCGTTAGTGTAGTGAATGTTTTATTCCGGGAGGTGACGTGTTCTTCCACCACTGGTTGGTGAGATCCACCGCCGATCACGTCGGCTGGCGAGGTATTTCCACCTTCAGGTATCACCTCCAGAAAGGCACCACCTTATCCGGAACATGCTCTAAACTTGTGACTGACCTCCCGATATGTTGTATTACAGTGATGTAAGTGTGTGAGAGAAGGGAGGACAGGACAAGGAAGAGGAAATAAAGATATCGCATCGTGTCCGTGGCTCGATTATTAGAGCACTGCTTCCGCACTCGCCTGGTAATGAGGGACTACCACGAAAACTACCCATCAGAGCAGCTAGAGTTCTCCTGCAACCATGCGACAGCAGTTGTTGCCCTGAGCCACCTCGCCTCGTGCAACTCACCCAGCGACGAGATGAGGTTGCCCCACACCTGCGCGAACTGGAAGATCATGAAGAAGATGCCCATGAAGCGCACGATGACCACGTCGGACGTCTCGCCGCTGCTCTGCGAGAAGGAGCGCGCCACCACGGTGAGGTAGGTGCACTTGGCGCACCACAGCGGCCCGCCGCCCAGCCCCACCACCGCCGCCGCCGGGATGAGCGTGGCCCAGCCGGCGTGGAAGTGCGCCGCGATGTACGGCATGTACGCCACCAGCGACACGGCCACCGCCCACTTGCAGCCCAGCCACCTGCGCAACGCCATTGCCTTCATTTTTATTTATTTATTTATTTATTTATTTATTTATTTATTTATTTATTTATTTATTTATTTATTTTATATTATTTATTAATCGTTAACAAAAGAAAAAAATATTTCTTGAATGATGTTATGTTAGTCTGTTGTAACTTCTTATCTCGACTCAAGATAATAACAATTGAAATAAATATATTTTGTCTTTAAATGGGATATTTCCTCAATTACGAATTATTATATCCAAATAAGACGGGTACTTTTGAAATAAGTAGATTGAAATGGGTGAGAAGTATTTTATTTTAGTTGGATATGTATAAGTATGACATCATCAGCGAAAGACTTTTAAAGTTATGACGTTCATAATTTCAAAGGAACTGGTGGTTTCAGGTTATGAAAAGTATGTAGATTATTTCCATGCAAATGGGTAATAGATTTTGTATGCTATTTACGTAAGATGTGTGTGAATTTGAAGACATTTTCCTAATGATAATATTACAACGAATACCTGTTTTTGCGAGAGAATCTATTGTAACATGGTTATTTAGTTCATTGATGAATAGACCAAACATGATCTTCAATTCATTTTGGCTGAGATGTATTGACTACAGAAGAGAGTCGGAAGTGACCGTATTTAATACACAAACGTGTCACCATCATGTGACCTTGTTGGATAGGCATATAAATTTTATTATATTAAAAATTAAATTATTAAGACACCGACGTGTGCTAAAGCCCTGGTGGACGTAAGGTCAGATTTGACGCTCACCATTGGAGCTAAGACGAAACAGCTCATATTCAGACAATCCAGAACAAGATACTACGTATTACTGTCGAAGAGTCACTTATGAATAGTACACGAGTGGACCATTTGCATCATGATGTGAATATTGCGATCTTAGAAGAAGTAATTAACATGTATTCAAAAACACATCAGCGGCGAAAACAAAGTCAAAAAGTTTTTAAACATTAAAGCTCTTTGATACTTTTAGAAACAATATTAGAATACTGAAAACGAAGAAAACATCAAATCTTGCAGTAGATTTCTTTCCTGTAATTACTACAATCTTAACCATCTGTCAAGTATAAAACATAGAGTGTAATTTTGATTGTTTGATTTTTGATAATTTTGATTGTTCGGTCTAATACTTGTTACATGTATGTTACATTATGAATTTATTTAAAAAAAGTAATTAGTAGAATGTTTATCAGTTGTAGCTACGTCAAGTGTCGAAGTTCAGTGACGCAGAGATGCTGCTTAGTAAGATTTGTAAAATCTTGATCGTATGAATGATAGTATTTGAAAGATACGTAATAGGTATTAGTAATATTACTCATGCATGATTCAAAGTAATTAATTTTCAATATTTGTAGTTTGTTCAAATTAAGATTAGAGAAAAATAGAGATGTTTTGCATGATTTTTTAACAAAAAAATAATTGTACAAATGATGCTAATCTGTAATTTTTCACTGCATTTGATACTAATATTCGTTGGAGTAATAATGAAAAATAGTTCTATAAAGTTTCATATAGACGTTCTACTACTTAACCCAACCGGAACAGAACACATATCTTGAACCCAATGCGAAAAGAATACTGCGGTTAACCTTTCCAACGTTGAGAAATGTTCCCACTAAAGAACAAAGGTTTCACGACGCAGGGTACTTACCAACTCCTCATACAATACTAGTCCAGGGAATTTCCACCGCAACTTCCTCCCATAGGAAGGCTCTTGAATTCTTCGCAGCAAAGCTTCACTGCCAAATAATGACACTGCCGACATTATCTTCTTAATAACTAATTTGATCCTCACGTTTTAGCACTTCACTTATTTTCAGTATTTATAATACATGTACAAATATATTAAAATATGCGGCGGTGCTTTTCGTCAGTTTCATTGCTAGTGGCATTATTGAATGGATGATCGCTTCAAGATATTAATTCAAAGAATTTTTTGTAAACCTTATTTTTTTGACATTTTATTAAACTTTATTTATATCATTTATTAAATGAGATATTGAATTACAATTTAAGAATTTAAAGAGCTTATTGTATTATTAGAATTTTTATTTATAGCATTTTAAAGATTTGATCTCCTAAAAACAGCAAATATTTAATTTTTGCATTCCAATGTTTTTTGATGTGATGTATCTTTACTTTACAAAACCTAATAAAGTGTTCTTAAGTTATTTTTAAAAACGTTTTGCATGTCATTTAAACTTAAAGAACAGTACTTTTTACATGTGGTGAGCTACACGAATAGTTAGTAATCTCGTTATTTCATTTTTTCAATGAGGGAATAAACGTATAGGCCTAATCTGACGGCAATAACGTCAATTTCTTTACTACTGGCATCAGTTGACATTGAGCGTAGTTTTGGTGAGAAAACTGAAGGCTTTTTTATTTGCTTTCCGAATACGTAGCATTGAAAGAAAATCAAGTGAACTTTATGTTTATTTTAATAACTTATGGTATTATAAGGCTCTTTACTAGTTACATGTCATTTTCTTTTCTTCATGTATATCTCAACGGATTCACCAAATTATCACTTTCAAATTAGCACGCTTTATTTACCATTTCAATGTCAACCCTACGTGCATGGCAGAAACCATTCAGTCAGCGACGTCTCTACGATTGTCAGCTTCTTTCATCCTTTCTCACATTTCTTGTCTGCTGCTCTCCTTATCTCTTTACCTTTCTCTCCTTTTCTCTTTCATTTATTTTTCCCCACTTCTCTGCTTTTCTTCCGCATTCTCGTATATTATTATTATTATTATTATTATTATTATTATTATTATTATTATTATTATTATTATTATAATTATCATTATCATTATTATTATTATCATTATTATTATTATTATTATTATTATCTTGCTATTATTGTTAGTTTCATAGTCGTTACTATTGTCACTATGGTTATTATTGCACCATTATTTTCATTACTGTATATTTTGTATGTTAGATATATTATCATATTTTTGTAATTAGCTGCCACCGGATTGCAGTTTGAATTCATTTATTTATTATTATTTACTTATGCTAGACATCAGCATTACAAAGCTTGTTATACATATTGTGTAGTGAAAGTTTCTTGTTCCTGTAATCAATAGGAAAATATTTATTGCAGTTGTTTGCTAGAATACTATAGTTCATTCAGTGAAATAATTTATTAAAATCTCCGTCTTTCGTAAAGAAAATAGCGAAACTTATTTATAATTAAGGAATTCAATGGCCATTGAGAATTATGTACGTTTCAATTTTTAAAAAAATGCGAGAAGGTATGGCAGTGAATAAAATTCACGAACTAAAAATAGAAACATTATGAAAAAAGAGAACAAATGAGTACAGTGACAATATCAAAATTATAATTAATGTTCTAGACATATACGATTGTTTGACTTGGCCATTGTATTTTAATGTTATTGAAAAATATGATTCTTCAATTCCTAGAATTTGAATGAGTTGAAACTCGCTAGTACTTTAAGAGCACTTAGTAGCATTAGTAAAAACTATCGATATATATATATATATATATATATATATATATATATAATAAATATAATATATAAATATTATATAATATATATAATATAATATATATTATATATAATATATATAATAAATATTTTATATATATATATATAATCAGTTATTAAAATGGAGAGTTTTCGAGCGAGGACTTTCGCTGGTAACAGACAGACAATGCGTGGCCCGGTGGTGGCCATGCGGCCAACCGTTTAAGCGGAGTGCCTCTTTAGGCCGCGTGGCCTACCAACCGGGGGGGGGGGAATCAGACGCATCCGCGCCCGGGCCGCCTACGATGCACAGCTTCTCCGTCTTCCAGGCGACTTCTCTGACTTTGCCTCCTTTTCTCTTCCTTTCTCACATTCACTATCTGCTCCTTTCTTTACATTTTTAACTTTCTCTGCATTCCTTTTATTTCCGTTCTCATCTGCTTAAATCCGCTTTTCTCTACCTATCTCTTCTTTTCTGCCACTCTTCATTAATTTACTTTACTTAACTTAATTTACTTTTATTTCTTATCTCCTCTTCTCCGCAAATCTTTGCCTTTTTTTGTTCTTTTCAGCCCTTTCTTTTTTTCTCTCGTTTATCTGATTTTTCCGCATTTCTCAATCTTTTCTATCCTCTTCTCCATTTCCCTTAATTTTTCCATTTTATCTCCGAATTTTCTTTTATCTCTTTTCCCCTTCCTTTCATGTCTATTCTTCTCGCTTCCCATCTTCCTCCCTTTCTCTCTACTTCTCTTCCGTTCTCCTCGCTGTTCTCCATTTTCCTTTTCTAATCTCCAAACTTCTCACTTCCTTTGTTTCTTTTCATTTTTTCTTTGATTTTCTTACCGATATTCCTTTCTTGTATGTTTTTCTCATTTTTCCCGCTTCTATTAGCTCCTCCATTCTTCTCCTGCTTATCTCCATTTTCCCAACACCTATCCTCCCTATTGCAGTTACTTCCGCTTCCTCATATCTTTTTTGATTTCCTTCATCTATATCAGTCCATCGCCGTTGTGTATCTCCTCTCTCGCTCTTCCTCTTTTATAGTCTTTGCCCCATACTGCACCTACTACCGTACATCCCAGTATCCTGATTTTCCCCAGTTGTCCTTGCTCTAATTCCCGCAATCGTTCTGCGTTTCCTTCCCTCGGCTTTGCTTTGTACGCTTGAGGGCCAACCCACGCCTGAAGTTGAGACACACTAGGCGACCGTATACTGCTCTTGCGATTAGATTTGTAAGTAAATGAAGTACTATACAACTTTGTTTTTTACAAGCGAGCTCAAAGTATGGAGTCTCGTGATATTTGGAAGTAATACGGTCTTGTATAAAATTTGAGGAGTTGATTTTACCTTCTCTTACCTTCTGATTTTACATTATAGAGATAAAATATTGTATTACTGCGTTAAAACCCGATAATTTTTCCTTAGTAAAACTCGCATTATGGATCCCTCATATCGCTTGGAAAATCTCTTATATCTAGCAACTTTCTTCCTCAAAGACTTTATGTAGAATAATTAAAGATGTCATTGCCAACAATATTTTTTAATGCAATAGCAGCTTTCGATGGCTTAGCCATCATCATCAGTTGTCTGATACAAGAAGAAAAACAAAAAAAAAAAACAACAAAACATTAAAACGTGAATTAACAACAAGGTTATGATAAAGGTTACAAATAATTTACAATTTTTTTGGAAAATATATTTGACAACGGGAGAAAGAAAAAGTGGGGCGGGGGTTAAGCCATTAATACTAAAGAAAAGCAAATGAAAATAGAAATAGGACACGTAAAAATTATTTTTATACAGAAAAACAGAAATGTAAGTTGTTGTCATTGCCAACAATATTTTTTAATGCATTAAAAATATTGTTGGCATTGACAACATTTTTAATTATTTTAAAAATGCCAAAGATATCTTACCACGACTTAATGTAGACCGAATTCACATTTTGAGAGTTCCTGAAACCCACACTCAAGATTGGTTGACGAGGAAAGGCATGTCTGTATTTGCAAGTGGCCAAAGTTAGCGTCTAAAACGTTCAGACGATTTTCCGAAATTCCACGATAGATATTAACGAATTTGGCAAACCCCTCAGAGTTTAAAACCGATACATTGATTTTTTGGTACTGAAATGAGACCTCAATAATATTTTCAAAATTTTCTTATTAATGGCTCCAAATTTCTTGATTAAACTTTTTTCTAGGAAAGCGCAAATGACGTTTACAATACAGCAAATGTGTCATTTTCGTTAAAATCTCTAAATTTTTGAAAATTTCGAAAGTTCAACATTTTTTCAGTCTTCTTTCAATATTAAAGATAGAGATATTTTCCTTAGCAAAATCTATATTTAAAAGCAGATTTTTAAATAAAATTATTAAAATTTCTGGAAAGGTGAGTAAATTTAACGTAATTATGCGTGAAATTTAGGCTATTTTAAACCATTATTTTCCCCAAAACGGTTCCAATTTTGTCTTTACCAAAACGTTGACCAAAGATGGACGGGCAGGTGATAGTCCCCCAACCAATGTTTTAGTAGCAAGAAATAACAAAATGTTGATTATAACTGTACAACGAGATAATATGTCCAAGGAGGTAATGTAGTACATATAGGAATACGATTTATCTACTTTTTATATGGCAGAACCCCAGGATATGAGATTTTTGGTAAAAAATTCGCTGCATCACTACAATACTTTCTCTTAACTACGCCAGTCCATAGTACGACGAGAAACACAAAAATAGGCGAACTCTCTATTTAGTGTATCAAAAACATTAACATAGTGTAGCACAAAAAAACATTAAAAATACAAATTTGATGATTAATATGTAAAGATCAGTTCAACAGAAAGATATTTAAATAAGTGCATATTCAATATTTTTAAAATACAAATAGTTTTCGCATAATATTTCCTTGTTGGAAAGACAGTTTATAAGACTTATTTTACTTACAAATGCCTCCAATTTTTTTCCCTTGAACTTATTTCGAATACAAGAAAGTATCTTAATAAAAATATGTCGGGTTCAATTTTCGGTGAACTATAAAGTTTCGGAGATTACAAAAAATCAACTTTTTGAAATTAGTGTAAAATTGTTTCATTGAAATCTGTTCCCAAATAGATTTTTAAATGAAGTAATGTACATTTTTTATGAACGAATAGTTTTCGCATAGTATTTATTTAAATGAAGGTAATTTATGTTTTCTCAAAAGAAACTAAAAAAAATCAAAAGAAACTTCTAAAATTAGCGAATACGACTGTCGTTGAATTCATGAATTTTTAAACGTTGCAAAAATTCAGAAATTTTTCGGCATCATTCTACAACTGCAATATTGGAGTTTGATTCATTTGTGCGTATTGGAGGGTGGGAAGCTGACTAACCGTAAGTACGGATGTACGCAAGTTACTTTTTGAAAAACATTTGAAAACTAGAAATGTTTGCTCTGGAAAAAAAGAAAGAGATTTTGAAGCAGCAAATGAACTGCGAATTTGATGTTATAGTATTCTTCAAAAAATTGCAAATCCCCCCCCCCCACTACTCCCGCAACCAGCAAAAACAGAGATCATAAAATCGTATGCATACAATGTAATGCATCTTAAGAAAAATACGTTTATTGTACGACCTTTATTTACTAGAGTACTGCTGTATAAAAGGACAAAAATGATTTTCTAAAAAGTAATTCTCATATTTCTCAAGAACGACATATTACCTATTATCCTATAACATTGTAACAAATTAAATATTTAAACAAAAACTATTCACGAATATCGCAATAACGGAATATTCTGTATTAATTAATAGTAGAAACATTTCAAGTTTATCAACAATTTATTTTTCATAACCCAACACGTTTTTATCAAGTATATAATAGCATGGTTATCGGCGTTTCCTTGAAGCCTTGCTGTCGCGTATCAGCAGTGACGTAAGCAGTGATATTATTAGTCTGAGCACAATGTAAGATTACACGGAAATAGACCAATGAAATAATTGCAGGTGTTAGTAAAAAATAGAAATGATTTATTTGTTTTTGGAATTTCTTGTAATTTTTTCGCACGAAATTAGCCAAACAGACTCAATATTTTTTGTGACCAATGTATAAAGGCAATACACGAAATTTACGAAATATAATTAAGCACATGCTCGAGTTGTTGCACAATCAGTATAAAGAAGGATTATTCACACAACTAATAAATGTCTTAGTCATTTCTTGAGAAAAATAACAATGTCACTGAAATAATATAATAATGAATGATCGATAATTAAAATAACTTGTTGATTTCAGAATGTGTGTATTCACAAATTATCCTTTTGTTTGTGAAGTAACTGCATTATACCCGTCACCGGCTCACCTATCCTGAGCAATTGTAATCCGCCAAAGCTAGTTTGACGGCTACGGAAACTGCCCCTAGTCTGAAATGACCGGTCCGAAACACAGCACAATGTGCAGCAAAGTAGTTGTAACATTTAGTACCTACATACACACATTGTCTTAGTACACTGCATGCGCGCATTGGTGGAATGGGCCGAACGTGAGCTGTTTGCGCATTAGTTAACCTTGGTACCAATAAAAGCAAATTAGGTGGGCTGCAAACGTGTTACTTTGCTTTTCCAACGGCATGCAATCTGGGTAGTGCACACGGGATTTTAACGACGTGTACTTGGCGTTGATACGTCATAGAAATGGGGAACAGTAAAGCCCAGGAGAGATTAACCATCGGTTAGTGTGTTCACTCTATATTGCTTGGCTACTGCAGACTCCCGTTTAGATCTCACGGCTTTTGTTAACAAAACTAGCTTCTAGCCAACGAATAAATTTGTTTTGTTAAGTTTAGATTTTAAAAATTGTTGATAAATAAATATAATCGCTCTTAAGCTTCCTTTTAACTACTGCAACACAATCACATCAATTAAATCAGCACTATGAACAAGAATCTGTTGTGAAACTTATATTCAACACGTATAAAGGCATTTTCCATTAAACTTGCAAAACTTTATATTCTTTGTTTCTGTGTGTGTGTGTGTGTGTGAGAGAGAGAGAGAGAGAGAGAGAGAGAGAGAGAAAGTGTGAGAGAGAGTGTGAGAGAAGCTCTCGTAAACGTCGCGATTTTGGACTGATTTTAATGAATTATAAGACATTTTCTGTGTATATTTTTATTAACATTCATTCAGAAAATAAACTGCGCACAAATGCAGAACCAAACCGTAGAGAAATAATACCTTTCTAAAATAACATTTACGAAGAGCCTAGTGTGACAGTAGAATAAGAAAAAAAGTTCAAATAAAAATAATATAAGAAGTATATTAACAAATTAAAAACAAGGTGCATTAAATGCTTAAAATGAAACCTCCGGCAACCCTTTCTTCCTCAGTAAACCTGCTTTACCGCAGAAAGCGACACATGATGCGCGCTGTCGGACTTCCGTCCCGTGACTATCACTGTCACATGACCTGACCCCAAAATTAAAACCGGTCGCCGTCCGCCGGTCCGTGTGCCTACAGCACCCGAGATCGTCTGGCCCTTACACTCATAGGCGATCTCGCCCACACTCCTACTCTCTCCGTACCTACTCGTCCTCCGCTCTGCGATCCAAACTGAATGAGGCGCAGATGGCGCCGCGTTAAATAGTTGGGGTCTGCAACCCCACCACACTAGTTTCATAGGTTAGGCTCGCCTGCTGTCGGCAAGCTTCCTAGCTAGCTTCCTAGGAGATTACTGCCTTCCACAAGACTCGCACTACAGCAAACTCTAAGGATATTTTGGCTCTGCCACGCTGTCTGCGTGAGCTGCAAAAACAGGGAGCGGCAGGGCTCCACCTTTCTCTCCCTGCAACGTGCATGTCTCTGCGAGCAACAGCCTTTCACCGACCTAACGGTTCGGGCCCTCGTGTTTACGACGCCACACTAGTCCACTCATTTCTCATCTGCCCTTGCGGGCGCCTTCATGGGAACTTATTCCAAGGAACTTCTCTTAAACACGTTTCCTCTTCCCCATTCAGTATTTTCCTTCTTCTTCTTCTTTCCGAATTCGCAAGGTCACTTCACAACTGCCATCGAGCGTTCGTACTCGAAGAGCGTGTTTGGGA